TTTTGTCATAATTAACTCTTCCAAAAAAGAGCGGGAAAAGAAAATTTTTAGCATTAATGGGATAATCCCCGATTATATATATAGATTTAAAATATAATTATTAAAGTTGATGTGATGTAATATATGAGACAAATGAAAAAAGTGATAGGTAATTAAAATATGTGAGCGTATGAGTTGTGAATTAAAGTTGACGTGGAATGCACTTAAATCTTACGAGATGTAAAACACACCAACTCGAGCTTTACTTTACAAGTGGAATGCACAATAAAACATCCCTATCAACACAAATTCCACATTTATTAACCAACAATTATGATATTCATCTCCACGCAGAACACGTCGACAGAGCCCGGTTCTTCCACCCGAGATACAGCGCCCCATTGCCCTCCGCCAGCCCATAATTCGAGCTGTACTCCTTCAGCATGTCCCCAACTACAGCCCTCACCGTGGGGCTCAGCTGCACCTGATCAAAACCCGCCATCGTGAGCCTCATCCTCCACTTCCCAAACAGCTCGTGCCTCTCGACCCGGTCAGCCCCCTCGCACGCTATGATGTTGACCACATCCCTCGCCACGCAGTGCTCCTCCGCGCTGATCCTCATCCTGTCGTCCCGCGCCCTCGCCGCGTCGATCGACTCGAACATCGCCGTGTAGTAGTCGAGCGTCTCGCAGAACCGTTGTAAGAAAGTCGAGGTGTTGGTGTTGGACTCCTGCTCGAGAAGGGTCACCACTTTTGGGGACAGCCCCTTCACGAGCCGCAGCAGCCGGTCCCGGTGGTTCGCGGTGCTCACGCTCTCGTCCGGCATGTGGTGCAACACGTACGGGAAGTTCACCGCCAGTGCCTCCCCTGGACGGATTCTCAGATTCTCGAGGCGGACCTCGCACCCCGAGATAGCGGCCCCATGGAACTCGAACGGGACTCCGCACGATTTTGCCACCTGGCACAGCCGCTGACCGACCAGCTCGAGCCCACCTCCACGGGCATGTGTCGACTGGGAGTCATCGACTCCGGTGATTCGGATGCACGGAGGCCCACCTGGCCGGAGTGCAAGCGTCTGGATAAAAGACACCCACTGGCTGCCCTGAGCAATCTGGAAATCGATGATGTGGATTCGACTCTCGTTCTCCATGGCCTCTCCTATGATGACGTTCGCTGACATGTAGGCGAATTTGTAGTAGGGGCAAATTTGGTATATCACGTGCATGTAAGACATCAGTTCGGAGCTCGTCGGCTCCTTGCATTTGAGTTTCTTGTAAATGATGCTCCCGGAGGAGAGAAGCCTTGCCCGAAGACCTTCTAGCATGTAAGCCCCGAGTCGCTGGGAGGGTTCACCCGAGACTGATACCATTTTTTCGATTATGTCCATTAAAGCTTCTGCAGCTGAGACCGCCACTTGTTGGTCGGGAGAAGGGAGCGCATCAGCCTCAGAGACTATCTCGGCGCACGAGACGAACAGCTGTTTCAGGTCCATGTGGTGGGCCATCTCGAGAATCTTGTTGTACCTAGTGAAGGGGGATGAAGGCTGAGGTCCAGCAGCGGCCATGCCATTGTAGAAGCCACTGTCATCGGTTTCCGATTCGGGGCCCAGTAGCTCGTGCCTCAGGACCCACAGTGCGTGGAGCAGCTTGTTCTCGTCCTCAACCCCGGAGGAGGAGCCGCTCAGGGGGGACTCGTGGGCCGTGTAGGAGAGGGAGCCCGGTGGAGAGAATGGACTTCTGCCTGATGAGTCACTTGGGCCTGAAGACGATGAGCTGTAGTTTGGGTAATCGGCTGCAGGGGTCGACTCTAGAGTGAAGAACTGTTCGGTATAGGCCTGGAAAGAGATGTCAGAGCCTTTGCCCTTTTTGGCGCCAGCCGAGTCATTGTTAAGAATTTGGAGGGTCGGGGGAGAATACGGGTTCACCTGCTGCATGGGTCGGCTGTAGAAGCTGTCGTAATAAGAAGAGGCGTCAGATTCTTGGGAAGCGCGCATCTGGGTAAAGATAACTTTGATGACCTTAATGGAGTAATGAGTATTGTAGAGCTTCTAGCTTCTTTTTTTTCCTCGCTAGCGCCTGTAGACACACAAAGACGTGTAACCTCTTTATGGTGGATTATGCAAAGCCAACAGTATCTGCCCAAGAGGAAGTACGAAAAGGTCATTTCATTTCAAGCGAGTAAGATTTTGGCCTTTTGGACCACGTTATGTAAACATGTTTCAAGCACTGTGCATACACTCTGTGGATGGTAAATGCAAACCACTTGAAATTATAGGGCCAAAATGGAGCGATTGTCACAAACATAGCCACAGAGACTTAGATAACTAAAGCCAACAGTGGGAACAACCAAAAACGAATATCATTAAGGGACAGATCAGAAAGAATAAATGCAGCAAATAGATTACTAACATGTATAGTTAGCTAAAGCAGAATGTACATATAAAAGAGAAAAAGCAAAAGCAAAGCTGAAGCTTTCATTAATTGTAAATTTTATAGACTATAAAATTCGATAATGCAACTGTGAGCTTGCAAAGTGATCCAATCTTTAGATATTACTTATTGCATAGTTATTACTTGTATTGTTGATTCAAAGGATCTTAGCATTCTATCATTCAAAGAGCTGCGTTATTTTCCAGGACAACTAATTAATCTCATGTTATTGACGAACATTTTAAATGCATAGCAAACTCTGACATAGAAGGTTCCAAAAAAACCTTTTCCCTTTCACATCCTTATTCATACAAGAATATATATGAGAAATGTAAACAAAATCCAACAACTGAAGAGGCAAACTTTGACAGTGAAATCGAAAATTTTCAACAAAACGGTAAGCAAAGACGTGGTACAAAATGATCCAAATGACTGACCGAATGCAGAAAATAAAAACTACGCTTATAGCAATACACAAAATAGAAAAGTAAAGGATACCAGAACAAGTTACAAGATAAATTCAACGAGTACAGAATTAGAGAAAATGGAATACATTGCTTCCTGAAGCTATCATCTGCAGATGGTTTTCATAATTATGCTTATTATTGTCCTATTGCATAAAAAACACGGTACCGATCTAAGTAAACAGAGGACTCAACCATCTTTTACCCCTTCATGTTTTAGATGTTATCATACTAAAAGTTTCAAATTCCCAACGAAAATCCAAAGAACACAGAAAATCTTATAGAAAATGATCATTCAGTGGATTTGTTCAGCATTCGATAGTAAACAAGCCAATCGAGGATTAATCAAAGGACATCACCCCACAAAGAGTCTGAAAATCAGGGAGCCATCGAAAGGTGACTAAAACACCAGAAACGACGACTACCCGAGCTAATGATAGAGGCAAGAACACTTTCCGGCCAAGTCCCATTAATCTTCAACCAGCCACAATTTCTTTGATTAACAATCAAAACATGGACCAAAAGGAAAAGTCACAAACTGAATCTTTAATTACACTGTATCCCACTGTAAAAGTCGAAAAGATAGTTCGTCCACCATTAATGAGGAAAAAAAAAAAAACATTAACTGAAGAGGGCACAACAAATACCATAACAAAATCAAAACTTCAATCGAACCCCAATTGGTAAATTTCGTTTTAGGACAAGAATGAAATCCTAGGAGCATGAACATGAAACAGTAATGAAACAAAACAATCAAAAACCTAGTAACAGTTTTCATTTCAAGAATCACACGAAGAAACAAAAATTGAGTTCTAACAGGAGAAAAAGTTATAAACATACCATAATCTACAAGGGCCACTGCATAATTCTTCACCAATTACTCACAGATAGTACATCATCAGCCACAAATCTACCGTCCAAAAGGCAAAACTAAACAAAAAAATTAGATTAAAAAAAAAAAAGAAAAAAACACAGAAGAGAGATCAGATTTTTCTGTAAATAACAGGTATTATCGGCATAGCCTACCCTTTGATATATA